AAAAAAATAAGGGTCAGAAGGAGTCTCACCTTTTGTCTTTCTGTTAAATGCTATTTTCTCTACAGTGAGTCAATATAAAGACAAACTGGAACGTGACTGTTGCTTAGATGGAATCCGGGAAACCCCAACTTCATCTAACTGTGAGAAGCGTAGTGAGTTTATCGCTGATACAGCCTGTTTTGAGGCTTTCCTGCACTGCTGCAAGGAAATGGAAAAAAAGAGAGCTGAGAGGAAGGAGGATGGCCTCAAACTGGCTCGCAGTAAGAAACACGAACAATGGATGGAAGGTGGTTATAAATGGTCCTACTGGTCACTATAAAGGAATAAAAATGTGAACGTTTTAAAACTTCAGGTGAGGATGATGACAGCAGTTTCATGGACAGCAATGAAATTGTTTCCCGCACCAATTTCCCTGAAAGTTGGCTGTGGTCTGATATCAAATTGCCTGCTTGCCCTGGGAACAGAGCTAGATGGTTAGTGAGCTGAAATATAGAATTGAAATATATTAGTACCTTCACTTCTCAAAGTGTTAATATTTTGTTTTTCAGTGAAACAACATCAGTTTCGAAAAATGTTCCTTTGCAAGACTCAATTACAACCTGGCAGCTCACTGGTATTAGTCTATCAAAGACTCACGGTGAGGATGAACTGATATAATTTGTCTCTAGATCAAGGAGCCAACCTATAGCTCATCAACTGGTCTTTCTTTTGCTGTGTTTGTGTCTTTGTCCGTTTTTCTTTTTTTCTCTTTTTTGAAGGTATCTGTGTGGGTGATCCATTAGAGATAGTTGTCCGTAAAGATTTCTTTGTTGATCTGAAGCTACCGGACTCTGCTGTTCGTGGGGAGCAGCTAGAAATTAAGGCAGTCATCCACAACTATGGTCCCAATCTTTACACAGTAAGCCTGGTTCATCCAAGCACGTCAACACCACCATAATGTTCCATTCAATGACATTTTATCATCATCATTAATATTATTATTATTCAGTTAACTGTTCTTCAGTGGAACTTGATCAGAGACTGTAGCGATTTTTTATATTCTGTAGATTATGACAAAAAGTGTTTGAAATCCTTGAATTAACTTATTTTCAAGGTGCGCATTGATCTGACTGAGGCGGAACATGTGTGCAGTGCAGCATCTAAACGTGGGCAATTTCGTCAGGAGATTAAAGTCGGGGCCAAAAGTATACGATCTGTACCATTCACCATCATTCCTACAAAAGAGGGACAGCACCGCATTGAGATCAAAGCAGCTGTCAAAGAAGTTGTCAAAGACTCAGAATTGGGTATCAGTGATGGAATTGTGAAAATGCTACAAGTAGTGGTAAGAAAGAAAGACATATTCTACCAACTCACATAGCTCCCTACCTTTAAGAGACACATGAAGTCATTGAATGCAGCCAGATATGCA